GTATAATTCTCAGTATCCATGTAAAATATATTAACACCACATTCCTTCACTTTATATCGTTTATACATATCATCTTTGATGTTGAATTTAAATGATGCCTCTTCGTAATCATTGTCTAGTATAATCATATCTTGATTAAACAGAATGAACAAATGATCACCCCTGCAACTGCAGATCTCGCCCCACCACGCAGGAAAAGCGTCATAACTTTTCATCCCGTGCCATCTCTCAAAAACATGGCACTCACTTGTGAACTTTTCACCACTGGCGGCTGTCAGTTGGTATTTACAGATAAATTCAGGATCTCGTTCCGCATATGTGAGATCAGCCACAAGGCAGATAGCAAAGGCCAAGAATCTGCTCCCACTAAACCCATTTAGGGGTATCTTCAAATTTAACGTTTATTGCCTAACGTTTATTTCGTTTCAGTTTGATGTCTAACGTTTCATTCTGTTACTCATTTAGGTGCCAAGGCGTCAATGGCGTTAATTTTCTCGTTAAGTTACACGTGTCACAACCTGGTAATTTTAAAAATTTTATTTAAAATTAAAAAGTTAAAATTATATATATTTTAAAAAGAAAACACAAATTTTGAAATAAACCCAAAACTTTAAAAATATTCATTTCAACCCCTAAACCCACGTCGACCGCCACCTTTTGCCATCGACGAAGCTCCACCAGACCTCCCTTCCCCTCTGCGACCAAAATCCTCATGAAATCGTGACCGATCGATGACGAATCAATGTTTTATACCCCGTGAACCCTATGATGAAAATAACGATCTCAAGCGATTTCGACTGCCGAGGGGAGGGGAGGTCGGGTGGAGTTTCGTCGACGGCAAAAGGTAACGGCCGGCGTGGGTTTAGGGGTTGAAATGAAGGTTTTCAAAGTTTTGGGTTTATTTCAAAATGTGTTTTCTTCTTTAAATATATATATATATATATTTAATTTTTTAATTTTAAATAAAATTTTTAAAATTACCAGGTTGTGACATGTGTCACTTAACGAGGAAATTAACGCCGTTGACAATTAAACGAGTAACGAAATAAAATGTTAGGTACCAAACTGGAATGAAATAAACGTTGGGCACTAAACTAGAAAATCTGGCATACGTTGGCCCTTTTGTATATTTAATCCTTTTTATTTTGATTATCTAACTTTTAATGTTACGTTTAATATGGTAGGGAACATAAACATCGAGCATGGTTATATTATGGAAATATTCATTACCCTAATATATTAAAAGTTTACAATAATTACCACGTCAAACTGTTTGTTTTGCGAATAATTTTACTTATTAAACAATGAAAAACGAAAACGATCATAGCCTATTATTTTAATTATTAGAATTAGAAGGCAAGATCCGGCCTACAAACAAGTGCGAAAATGAAAGTCCATTTGATATGTGATAATCAGTTAAGAACATTGACAATATTTGATTTAGTAATATATATAAATACCTGCTCAATAATAAAAACTCTTACTGTTTGACTTTATGCAAAGAGGGAATTATTCTAAAACAATTGGTCAAACTAAGCCGGTTGGATTTTTTGTTCGTCCGATTCGAAAAATATACACATTTTATCCAATCCGTATTTTTTTAGATAAAATATGAATTCGATCCGATTTGAAATAATATATTTATTAAAAATATATTTTTATTCAATAAAAATATGAATTTAATTGAAAATAATATAAAAAGGGATATAAAAGCAATTATTCCTAAATATATAAGGTAAAATTACAATTTTTTCGGGTCGGGTTGGTATTTTTCACCCTAAAACCGGCCCAACCCTACCGGATATAACTTTTGAAAAACTCGACCCGAACTCGATTTTTTTTTAAAAAAAATGTACTCTATCATGTCGAGTCAGGTATTTTTCACCTTAAATTTTTCTAAAAATCTGACTCTATCAGGTCGAATTAGATCAGAATCCATCGAGTTCAGGTCCCATGTCCATCCACGTGTGATTAAGGAATCATGTCTTTTGGTATATATATAAGTTTTGCCATGTATGAATATGAGAGGAGAGTTATTAGTTAGTTTGGACTCATTAAGCAGTATGAGTAGTAATATGAGTTGTTATTTTATCTATAGAATCTAAATTTGAGTTAATGTCTTTGAAGTATGTCTGTTATCAATAGCTAAAAAGAATTCTGAAAGCATACTACATTATAATTACTCTATATTGTTTAAAAACGAAGTTGTTAATTGGTTTTATCTAATCCAATCACGATTGTGTTCAGGGACAGACACATAATTTTATATTAGGGGACAAACTTCTAAAATTTTAAGAGAACAAATTTATAAATTTTAAAGGGTCCGAAAACAAATTACTAATAAATAATACATAAAAAAATTCTTAAAAAAATTCTTAATTTCAAAATTTCAAAATTTCAAAATTTCAAAAAACACCCTATAAAGTAGATAATATGAAGGAATAGTTGCACTTCCATCCTTGACTGTGTTATCAATTTATACATTATGTAAATGGTACGAAGGAATAATTGCACTATAAGGTTTGACTTGCTGTTTAATAATTGATGGGGCATCTTCTTATTATATATATATATATGAAAATGAAAGTTGATTTGGTAGTTTTAACTATTGTTGATACGGTCATACTAATTAGACGTGTACATAAAAGCATGGATCTTGAACCGTTCTATTCATCGGACAATAGTTTTGATTTAGTAATCATGTGCTTTGGAAGTTAGGATTTTACTAATTAAATTTTGAATAAACGGCCCATTGAAAAATCTAATTTTATTCCATTTTCATCATTTACTATTCTTTTAAAAAATTAGATCTAATATTAATTTCATTGTTTTACTAAAATATTAGTCTGATTTTAAATACAATAAATGAGTATTGTTAGGGATGTCAATTTAACCGAGTTTTAACTCGATCCGACTGGATCTTTTTTTTAAATCGGGTTTGGGTCAAGTCGGGTTAGATATTTAAGATGCAATATCGGGTTGAGTTGGATTTGAGTGGAGGGTGAAAAAACTCCGACCCGACTTGAGGATAATAATGTAATTTTCTTAAAAAAAAACTGTTACTTTTTAAATTAAGTCCTTAATTTTTTTATCGGGTTGGGTCGGTCGAAGCTTTATACTCAAAAAATTCAGATCGGATCGGAGTCGGGTGGGAATATAAATTTTTGCATTTAATTCTATGAAGAAAGGTTTTTATAAAGATAAGATCATTGTCATGTTTACTTATAAATTACGGTTCATTTGTTTTATAATATTTCTACATTTATTATATGAAGAAGTATAAAAAAGAAAGGAAAAACAAACAACATTTCAAAGGTTAGGTGAACGATTCATTTTAATTCCACAAAATCAGCGTTTGTTTAATCATTTAATAAATGATCTAATAAAAAACGACTCGTAATATTTGAAGTCAGAGGATGACATTCATATGTAAATTTCAAGTCATATAAAATTAATTTGATTTATGGTTCAAAGATTGTCATATAAAACAGGGTGTCATATTATAAGAACAAAAGCTTAAATATGAAAGTGTATGAACTCATCCATAAACTGATCATCAAAGATACATCATATGTATTTTAAGGACAGCGACAGATACACGTCTTGTTGTCCATCTTGAAATTTAAATTTTCTTCGATTAATTATTTATTATATCGGTCAATTCCGTCTTGAAATTTTATTTTGTGTCCATCATGCACAAATATTTTACGACGTTGTTAATATATATGTATTCTCATCTTTAAAATTATTTTTTGGATCCGTGGTTACTATAGATCACAACCTTAATAAATAAAATTTCACATTTGTCTTAATTTCTAATTAGTCTATTATCAATTACTTTGATAGTTATAACTTCTGCATTACTGGCATCAGAAGCAATTAAATTCTTAAGGACCCTAATCAGAATCACAAAGTAAGAGTAGTTTTCAAGTTGGAAATTTACCAATGCATTTGGATGGCAATATTGTGAAGTTGTATCTGCATACACAAACAAAGATTAAAAGAAGTGAAAAGTCCCTCCATCCCCTTGTTCACCACCAACATAGCTAAATCTTCTTTTTTATATCACAACTCATCACATCACTAATGCTATAACTCTCTGCATCCACATAAAATACATGAACACCCCATTTCACCCTTTCATATTGTCTACCAAGTTGACCATTGTTGTAGATCTCAAATGATGCCTCCTCATAATCATTCTCTCTTATAATCATATCCTTATTAAACACAATGCACACATGACCTTTGTATATGTAGCCCCTGTCCCATCTCCAAGAAACGCTACTCTCTCCCATGAGCTTTTCACCACTGACAGCTGTCAGTTGGTATTTATAGATAAATCCAACACCTCCGTCTGCAAACCAGAGATTAGGCAAAAAGCATAAAGCAAATGCCAAGAATCTGCTCCCACTACACGCATTTGGGGCTATCTTTAAATTAATCCTACGATAAACGCTTCGATGCTCAAACTCATTTGCTGGAACTTCATTTCCTGGGAAACAACAAATCAATTGATTTCCAAAAGAACCCCTCCCTTGCCTGCTTGCCCATCTCTGTGCTAGGGATTGAATTTGAAGCACCGCGTTTCTCTCAATATTTTTAATTGAATCTTAATTCAGGTTTGGGCAATAAAGGAATGACATGGAAGCCTTTTCATCAAGAGGAGTATCAACACCATCATCTAAAGAGAAGAATGAATCGGAATTATGATCGGTGAAGGATACTTTCTCCAATGAGGTGCAATAATTTGCATTCAAGCACCCCAGAAATCGTGGAAGCTCTAAGAGTGTTTTAAGCCTTTTGCACTCCTCAAGTTCCAAAACGTTAAGGGATTCCAACTTTGAAATATTGCTCGATACATTTTCCACCCTCGAGTGACTCAAACTCAACTTTCTAAGTCCGACAAGATGCTGAATCGAATCCGACACTTGTTGTATTTCAGTGTACCTTAAATCTAACTCAGAGAAATTATTTCGGAGCTCAGGAAACTTCTTAAGATTATGACATTCCTCTAGCCTAAGCTCTTTAAGATATGCCAAATGGTTGAGCCAAGGTAGTTCAACCAAACTTATACAGTAATATCACTTAAGTGATTAAAGGTTAATGGCTCCTGATAGATTAGGGATTTTCCCCAGACTCTTGCAACCAGAAAGGTCAAGGCTTTCAAGAGATACCAACTGGTTGAGGGAAGGTAGTTCAACCAAAATTTCACACCCATTGCAGCTTGATGGCTCCTGATAGATTAGGGATCTTCACCAAACTCTTGCAACCAGAAAGGTCAAGGCTTTCAAGATATACCAACTGGTTGAGGGAAAATAGTTCAACCAAATTTTCACAACCATTGCAGCAAAGGCTTTGAAGTTTGATGGCTCCTGATAGATTAAGGATCTTCCCCAGACTCTTGCAACCAGAAAGGTCAAGGCTTTCAAGAGATACCAACTGGTTGAGGAAAGATAGTTCAACCAAACTTTCACACCCATTGCACCAAATGCTTTGAAGCTTGATGGCTCCTGATAGATTAGGGATCTTCATCAGACTCTTGCAACCAGAAAGGTCAAGGCTTTCAAGAGATTCCAACTGGTTGAGGGAAAGTAGTTCAACCAAATTTGCACACCCATTGCAGCAAAGGCTTTGAAGCTTGATGGCTCCTGATAGATTAGAAATCTTCCCCAAACTCTTGCAACCAGAAAGGTCAAGGCTTTCAAGAGATACCAATTGGTTGAGGGAGGGTAGTTCAACCAAACTTTCACACCCATTGCAGCAAAGGCTTTGAAGCTTGATGACTCCCGATAGATTAGGGATCTTCACCAGACTCTTGCAACCAGAAAGGTCAAGGCTTTCAAGAGATACCAACTGGTCGAGGGAAAGTAGTTCAACCAAATTTGCACACCCATTGCAACAAAGGCTTTGAAGCTTGATGGCTCCTGATAGATTAGGGATCTTCCCCAAACTCTTGCAACCCGAAAGGTCAAGGCTTTCAAGAGATACCAACTGATCGAGGGAAGGTAGTTCAACCAAACTTTCACACCCATTGCAGTAAAGGCTTTGAAGCTTGATGGCTCCTGATAGATTAGGGATCTTCCTCAGACTCTTGCAACCAGAAAAGTCAAGGCACTCGAGAGATACCAACTGGTTGAGGGAAGGTAGTTCAACCAAATTTGCACACCCATTGCAGCAAAGGCTTTGAAGCTTGGTGGCTCCTGATAGATTAGGGATCTTCCCCAGACTCTTACAACCAGCAAGGTCAACGCTTTTAAGAGATACCAACTGGTTGAAGGAAAGTAGTTCAACCAAATTTGCACACCCATTGCAGCAAAGGCTTTGTAGCTTGATAGCTCCTGATAGATTAGGAATCTTCCCCAGACTCTTGCAACCAGAAAGGTCAAGGCTTTCAAGAGATACCAACTGGTCGAGGGAAGGTAATTCAACCAAACTTTCACACCCATTGCAGCAAAGGCTTTGAAGCTTGATGGCTCCTGATAGATTAGGGATCTTCCCCAGACTCTTGCAACCAGAAAGGTCAAGGCTTTCGAGAGATACCAACTGGTTGAGGGAAAGTAGTTCAATCAAATTTGCACACTCATTGCAGCAAAGGCTTTGAAGCTTAATGGCTCCTGATAGATTAGGGATCTTCCTCAGACTCTTGCAACCAGAAAGGTCAAGTCTTTCAAGAGATACCAACTGGTCGAGGGAAAGTAGTTCAACCAAATTTGCGCACCCATTGCAGCAAAGGCTTTGAAGGTTGATGGCTCCTGATAGATTAGGGATCTTCCCCAGACTCTTGCAACCAGCAAGGTCAATGCTTTCAAGAGCTACCAACTGGTTGAGGGAAAGTAGTTCAACCAAATTTGCACACCCATTGCAGCAAAGGCTTTGAAGCTTGATGGCTCCTGATAGATTAGGGATCTTCCCCAAACTCTTGCAACCCGAAAGGTCAAGGATTTCAAGAGATACAAACTGGTTGAGGGAAGGTAGTTCAACCAAACTTTCACACCCATTGCAGCAAAGGCTTTGAAGCTTGATGGCTCCTGATAAATTAGGGATCTTCACCAGACTCTTGCAACCAGAAAGGTCAAGGCATTCAATAGATACAAATTGGTCGAGGGAAAGTAGTTCAACCAAATTTGCACACCCATTGCAGCAAAGGCTTTGAAGGTTGATGGCTCTTGATAGATTAGGGATCTTCACCAGACTCTTGTAACCAGAAAGGTCAAGGCATTCGAGAGATACCAACTGGTCGAGGGAAAGTAGTTCAACCAAATTTGCACACCCATTGCAGCAAAGGCTTTGAAGCTTGGTGGCTCCTGATAGATTAGGGATCTTCCCCAGACTCTTGCAACCAGCAAGGTCAAGGCTTTCAAGAGATACCAACTGGTCAAGGGAAAGTAGTTCAACCAAATTTGCGCACCCATTGCAGCAAAGGCTTTGAAGGTTGATGGCTCCTGATAGATTAGGGATCTTCCTCAGACTCTTGCAACCAGAAAGGTCAATTGACTTTAAATTAACAAGATCCTGTACATTGAAAATATAAAATAATTGCATTATCCACTTATTTTGGATGTATCGAAAATAAAAACAAAATGAAATACCTGATGATCTTCCTTCCAAAGTTGTTCTATGAAGCTCTCTCTTAGTTTCAACACAACAAGATTCTTTGGGTTAAAATTTGATGATAAGCATTTCAAGGGACAAAAGTCCCAATGAAGATACCTTAGCTCATCAGAAAAAGATACACTGGTAACAGAGAACGAACATGTATAAAGGATGATATATCTAAGATTATGCATCTTCTCAAAACTAGAATATAGTAACAGCTGGTCTTCAAGTCGACTCACGAAAAGCTTTATTCCTTCAATTGATTTATTCACCTAATAACAAGAAACAATTTAACGAGTTTCGTTACAGACAAAATTATATGAACATCTCATTAAAATTACTCATTACAAAATATAATTATACCAAGAAACGCTTAGACTAATCAGGCATATCTTTTTATTACTGAAAGTTTTAGACAATACAAATACGTTCTCTATTTCATAAACAACGAATTAGGTATTTCACTAACACAGTAAAACTTGAGTAGATTCCATGTTATACCCTAAAACATTGGTCATTATATGTATAGTGAGTAAATAAATATTTTACTTTTTGAAATGATAGTTAAAATATTTGAAACAATTTGACAGATACAAACATATAACTAAATTAACTTATATATTGACATTATATCAAATATAAATTTCAATTAAAATCACACAAATATGGAGAAAAAAAGGAATATAGATACAACTAATGCTTACTTTATTATATTTGAGCACTTGGATCATGTCTTTAAGACTCCATAACCTACTGCGCTCTCCAGGATCTTTAGATTCTCGGCGAACAATGTATTTTCCCATCTCTTCAAGCATATCATGCATACAAATCACCCCATTGGAATCCACTTCAATTAGACACTTATCAAGCAAATCGCTTATTCCACACATTGCACCCTCATATAAGCAACTTAGAATTTCTTCTACTTCTTTCTTGGATTCCCCTTTCAAGAGGCATGCTATATCAAGAAATATATTCTTCTCTTGTTCATCCAACTCGTCAAAACTACTCATCAAAATCTGTGAAATCTTTGTTTTTGCATATTCCTTGAGCTTGTCCACCTCACTTTCCCACTCTTTTCTAGACTTTTTATGAAGTTTAGAACCCAAAACTTTAAGAGCAAGTGGACTGCCTTGGGCGTACCGCAAAAAATTATTCGATAGATCTCGAAAATCAGGAGCAGGATTCAACGACTTAAATGCAAATGTAGAAAAGAGTTGAAGAGAGTCATCCTCGTTTAACTTAATCACCTTATGTATTTTGTTAGCTCCTCCATTCGTAAGTACTTGCCTATTTCTGGATGTTATGATAATTTTACTTCCATCACCAAAATGTTTTACACCCATAAGATCTATCTGCTCTGAGTCACCAACATCATCAAGGACGACGATTACTTTTATATTATTGAGCCTCTGTTGGGTTAAGACGGATCTTATGGAGGGGGTGTCTACACATGTTTTCGAGTTCAATAGTTCGGAAAGAAGTTCATTTCGTAAAGATTCCTTCCCCTGTTTTTTTATTTTCTCTCTAACATCTTGAAGGAAGCAACGACATTGAAACTTTGGAGAGATTTCATTATAGACACCTTCAGCAAGGGTAGTCTTGCCAATACCACTCATTCCCCAAAGTCCTATTATTCGACTATCTTCTTCCTCGATTAGCTGCAAGATCTTTTTTTTCTGATCATCTATTCCAACTAATTCTGTAGTAACACTTTTAGACTTACTATTCAATTCTTTTATGGCATACTCAACGACATCTTCGATGTATTCAGCCTCAGATCTGAGAAATCATTTTCACAAAATAATAGTCAAAAGACATGTCGAATATAAGAAGATAAAATATGTATAAGTGTATATGGTTACCTATCGAGTTTGCCGCCTTGTATATGCCACCCTTTTAATTTGCCGATTTCAACGAAGGCATCTCTCCATCGATTCACTTCATCAAGTGGCCTATTCGATTCATGCTCTTCAAAGGATGCCTTAAAACTTCCACCAATGTTTCGGACATGAGAAGGATCAACATGGTAAAAGATGGGAAGAACAGTATGTTGTTGAGTTCCCTTGCGACCCATGATGTCACAGAGTTCGGCTAAGCATGATTTGGAAGAAGCATAGTCGACAGACAAGACGACTATTGAGAGATTTGAGGATGCTATTGCTTGGGACAGTGCCTGTGAAAGCTGCTCCCCTTTCTCCAGCTTATCTTCATCGAAGAAGACGTTCATGCCAGTGTCTTTCAGAGTTTTGAGGAGATGGCTGGTGAAGTTAAGGCGCTTGTCTTCACCTCTGAAGCTCAAGAAAACTTGATACATCAAATGACAAGAAGAAGAAGAAGAAGAAGAAGAAGAAGAAGCCATGAATAGGAAAGAGAATGGATACTGCGATTAATAGACAGAGACAAGAGATAGCAAGAGAGGAAGAAATGATGATGCGAATAAAAGGACTTTAAATTCCTTTTCACAGAAACGCGTCAAAAAAAAACCAATCTTCCGGTATTTTCCAGGAAGCTGCCTACAGAGGAATTTAATTGGACCAATAAATCAAGCTCTTTCCTTGAAGCTTAATGGAATGAATCGGTGGATTCAAGGTAAAGAACCAATTTTGTGAATATTTAGAGATTTTAAGAATTGAAACGATCAACAAATTTTAAATCATTTTAAATTTTTTTGAGTAATCATTTTAAAGTTAGTTGTACATATCAACTCCATTTTGAATCATTTAAAATAAATTAAAATTTTAACATTTGAATTTAAATAATTATACAAAATTGCACGAACTAAATGACCTCAGTGATTGATAGTTATTGTTATCTTAGAGATCTAAGGTTCAAACACCAACAGTTGTAGAATATCTAAGTATTCATTGTCAAATAATTGAAAGCAAACACTACCACTTGTAATCACTCCATATTAATAAAAAAAATTATAAAAAAATTAGAGCCTAGTAATAAATGAAAGTATAAACCAGAACAATAAGAGTTTACAAATACTCTTTGTGCATGCTTAGCAAATGATGGCTTTAAGTTGATCATCTCCATTGCAAAACGCGTACAATCTTCTTCTGCAGCTATATGTAATGGAGTGTCGATAAACTCCACCTCATCCAATTGCCTGAATACATTCAGGCCCGCCCTTGAGCATAGGCAAAAGGGACACTCGCCCATGCCCCTACTTGCTAGGGACTAAAACTATAAATTTATCTATAATTAAAAAAATAAATTATTTATTTAGTCAATCGTTTATTATTTTATTTCTGTTTTGACCATTCAATTATTATTTTTATTCAAAATCATAATTAACGTTATATTTTGTTTAATTTTGTTACTCATCATTAAAAAATTACCAAGAAGTTAAAGTGACATTTTTAAATTATTTTTTCATTGTTACATCCCGAATCAAGGGTTAAATTAGAAAGTTTTTAAATTTTCTGTGCTTAATCAAGAATTATTAAAAGTTTAGGCCCCCAGGGTATAATTTACCCAATTTTCTTTTGAGAAGTTTGAAAACTCCCACTTTTTCTTTCTCTTCTTCTCTCTTTGCTATTGTACGTGCTCTCTCTCCCCCAAACAGTTTCTCCATGGTTTCATATTTCTTTTTAGTTTTTCTTCGATTCGTTACTAATCATGAGTAGGTGTGCGACACCTCTGGTACCCCATTGTTCGTTGTGTCGTTTCCGTTCGTCCAGCTGTCTCCATTTTCTGTTTGGCACTGGCGTTAGCTTTATCGGAGAAGAAGAAGTTGCAGGTTTTTAACAAAACCCATTTTTTGACGTCTTTTTTCGCAAACCAACCTCGATAAGTTATTCTCTGTGGCTTAAAATAAGTTTTTGGTATTTTTGTTGCAAAAAGCACTGTCGGATGGTGTCTCACGCGCCCCATGCACCGTCGTGCGCGTGTGGGGAAAATTTTGGTCGTTCAATCCGGGTAAATCGTTTAATTGTTGGATCGAATGGATCAGTTGACCGATTGACTGACCTGACCCATTGACCGTTGATTTTGACCATTGACTGTTGACTTTGACCACCGACTATGACCCATTGACATTTTTCGAAGACCCATATATTTTTATTTTTCGATATCCTGAGTCTGTTTTCGCAGTTCGTTTGGCCAAATTCTGACCCAAAAGCCCTATTTTGCATCATTTTTCGTTTTAGTCCTAATTATGTTAAGTAAATTATGAGATTTTGAACTCACTTTTGGGTCTAATTTTCTGAAAGTACCTTCGTGTCTCCAGATCGCTTACCAATAGACCCTGATCACTACCATTCTATTCAGTCGAGTCTGCTCGCTCGTCCCGAAATACGCATAAGTATTAGATTAATGATTTTATGGTATATTTCTGTTTAGATTATTGGTATCCGAATTTATAGAAGAGTATTATTTTAGATTCCCGATCTGTAAGACCTAGTACTATTGATTGTGGGAAACATAAGGCCTAGCCGATATTGATTATCTCTTATAGGTCTTTCCCCTGACCTGTTCAATATATTTAACATGTTATGTTATATGTTGCTATATATAATCATGTTCGTGAATTGATTATATATATATATATATATATATATATATATATATATATATACGTGACATATCTGACTTTTGAATACTGTGGTATCACCATTAATTTTCATGTTGATGCATTTATGATATCTGCATGGGATTTATTCCCCTAATTTTGCATGGGATTTATTCCACATCCTGATTCTCCATGGGACCTCATTCCCCATTCTATTTCTGTTGGGATCTTTTACGGAGGGCTAAATCCACATTCTGATTTTTTTTTGTATTTGGATGTCTTATTGTAAGTAATGTTCATATTCTGTTGATTCAAAACGAAAGGTAAAATTGTGAATTTCTGTTGGGACATTCTGCTAGTAAAATATTTGAATTTTAATATTGTTCGATTATTATTTTGATTACTATTTTATGTTTGAATGTTCTGCGGCTTGATATCACCTGATGTAATTTATAGGAGACACTGAGCTTTGTAGCTCACTCTATTTATGTTTTTCTTTTTCAGATTAACCAGTTATAGGACTGGTTTGGCTATCGGAGGTGTGATCTCGATTATATATTGTATGTGGTTTAATATTTATTTCTTAACCTTCTTAAGATGTGACATGAGTTTATTTCTGATTTTGTATTCAGTAAATGTTTTCAAAAATGACTTATTAATAATTTTTGTTCGTGGATCGTTTATGCGATCAACGTGGTCACCCTAATTTAGTTGTAACTCCTAGACTAGGTCTAGTGGGTTACATTTAGTGGTATCAAAGCACATGTTTCAATTCTCAGACTGTGCAGCCTGCTATAATTCTGAAAATTTGTTTAAAGTAAATTTGCAAAAGGATTTTTAGAAAAATATGAATTTTTTTTTTTGAAAAACCATGCCACAAGAATTTCAAGTATTTTATGAAATTATCGAGACTCTGATGCCATTATGGAAAGTTATTACCTTTTTGTAATGATAGTTTAATATTTAATATATAATCGTGAGCTTGTTTTGGATGTCTGTTGTCGTTTAGACACCTTAATTTACTATTTCGGGTATAAGGTCTGAACTCTTACAATTAAGTCAAATAGCAATCACCATTCACAGTTTGGGGGAGTTAATATATGTTTGAACTGAAACGGTTGAGCCAACTCCTAAAGTAGAAAAGGTAGAGATATATGTTCTTGATTTTCTTTTAACATTCTTCAGTCCTCCTCGGCTAAACTACATTAGTATTTCTGAATTTATTCTCGATTTTCTCCTGAAATTAAGATGTGTTTATATCTAGTTTTCAGCATTATATTCAATTTTAAATGGGAAACTTTGACCGAAATCTCTGGACTCGTTATAAAATCTTTTCTAATAAGTAACTCATATGAATTTCATATACCTTATAACTAATTGTTCTTCCAAGTTCATCTTGATTGTGGGGTTTGATAAAATTCTGGTTCTGTGCGATAATATGAGAATATAAATTGATTCTTGTAATAACACTAACATGTTCGAGATCTTATTCTGTCACATCCTGGTTTTCTATAAAAAATTAGTTTTGACCAATATTATATCAGAAATGCATGGGATGCCAATGATATGTGTAAAGTTTTACATTCCAAAATGGAATATTATTTTTGTATGAATTATTTTGAATTCCCTCAAATCTTCTGTAGATTAATTTAGATATCTACTAATAGTTTCTTTCTTCGGTTAATAAATATGATAATTGTATCGTTCAAATTCAATTTAACTAGGGTGAAGTGTTTCAACACTATCATTCATTTTTACTGGGAATTATTAACTCTGCATTTGATATTCATTATTCTGAAACAATAGTATAAGTTTTAAAGTATTCTAAATGAGATCGAATATAAGAATTTCCTTTGTATTGTTTATATTATGAAAACCGAAAGGATATAACATCTATATTACTTTGATTCAGACTATCTCGAGGGGAGAGAGTCAATTTCGGGTATTACTCTGAAAGTAGAATTCTATTTCTGCCTAGTTTATTTCAACCAACACATACTTCAAAATGGATTTGTGAACGAGTAACTGTAAACTTTTTCAGTAGATTGCCTTTGACTTTATCAAAGTAAGATTCAATCTATTCTTTATTGATCATCTCGACTAGTCCGTTTACTTTATTCTGGTTCGAACTGGTTACATTCCTGATAAATGATTGGGTTGCTTACTTTTGAGATTGTTCACTTTGGTGAGTTACTCTTATCTATAATGATTGATTAAGATATGGGATTTGTCACGATTAAAAAAAACTCTTTTTAAGGCTCTGTTACAAGATTAAAACTTCGGTACAACCTATTATCTGTAGTCTGATGGTCTATTTGGGCAATTATTTAGATTCTGAAAGACAAGTTGAAATGTCATATTATAGGGTTCTGAGATGATCTGAGGGATCTTTTACCGTTGATTGAGGTTTATGCTTTGTCGAGTTCTATGATGAGTAGGACTAGTTGCATAATATCATGAGTTACTGTTAGAGATTGAGCATGTTCGTGGTTAATAATTACCAGTCTAACCCGTCCTATGTTATTTCTGTTGAAAATGTTCAGCTGAGATCTGATCTGAGTTACGAGAATGAGCCTATTTGTATTGTTGCCTATGAGGATCGAATTCTAAGAAACTGACAAATACCCATGATTAATGCACTTTGGAGTAACTGTAGTCTTTTAGAGGCCATCAAAAAGGCTCAGAAATCTATAGAGGATTAGTTTCCTCATTTTTTCTGTCAAGTAAAATTTTGAGGTCGAAATTTTCTTAAGGGGGAGTTGTCACATCCCAAATCTTGGGTTAAATTAGAAAGTTTTTTAATTTTCTATGCTTAATCAGAAATTATTAAAAGTTCAGGCCTTAAGGGTATAATTTGCCCAACTTTCTTTCTTTCTTTCCTTCTGTATGTACTCTTTCTCTCCCCCAAATAGTTTCTCCATGGTTTCATATTTCTTTTTAGTTTTTCT